AAACTGCATAACCTAATATATCCTTGTCTTCCATGTCTTTTTCTCAACCAAAATATAATACAATTCTCTGAATATATGAACATTCTGTCTCTCATTTCAACAATATATATATGAAAAGTAACAAATACCATCTTGTGTTCAATACTTATGCTATTTTGCCAAAAAGAAAGAAAAAAAGAAAGAAAGAAAGAAAGAAAAAGTTTTCTCACTGTTTACTTACATATCATCAACTGGACTAGGTAGAGGGGAAGTTTCTGGCCCAGAACCATCAGTGGCTGGTTCAGCTGGTAGAGGTCTTGCTGGAGCATCTAGCAAGCAAGGACAAGAGTTAATGCCTGGGAAAGGAATATATAAATGCATAGCATATCTCTCCAACTTTCTAATTGGCCACATTCACTTATACTAGGCACCAATAATCTCACAAGCATTTATATCTTACCTTCTACCTACCCATCCTTGCTCACACATACAAAACACCCAACACAACATAACTCCGTTTTTCTTCTCTTTAGCAGGAGTATGTTCAGAAAGGTTTTAACGACAATGCTAAAAAAGCCTTGTATATATTAAAAGATGAGATAACATTTTTTTGATCTTTGAGGAATTATTTCTGGGTCTGAAGATTTTGACACTGCTGTCATATCTTCCAATTTGCCCATTTGGCATATAGTGGGTTTTTCCAATAAAAAAAGTTACCTTATTCTTATTAGAACACAGGTTCACCAGTCACCAAACTGAAGAATACAGTTATAATCTGTGTGAGGGAGTGATGAGATCAATATGAAGATAACTCCTTAGACAAATGCAATGAATGGGAAGGAGGACATTGTTACATATGTAACAGATTCATTACAACCCAAAATGGTAACTATACAAACCTTCAAATATGCATTGCAGATCCATTTTCTACTGATACAACAATCAAACAACTTGGCCTAAACACCTAGCTCATTTACTCACCTTTGTTCTCATCTTCAAACTCTTCATCATCATCATCATCCTCAGGAGCCGTGTCAGTGCCTTGACCCTCCTGCAGCTCCTGGGCCAGCTGACTCTCTATCATGGAGCGAGTGAGCGAGTCAGTGCGGGGGGGAGGCTGTGGTGGCAGATCATCCGCTAGTGAAGGCTCTTCACTGCTGCTTTCTTCCACTGGCTCCTGTTTGAGTGAGCATAGTGCAGTTAAAATCTAAGCAGTCTCAAAAGGCATGATGGTCTCAAGTAACCACAGACACTCAGGCTTGTGTGTGCCCTCTCTCTCTTTCTCACACTCACATGCAAAACAAACAAACAAACTAATAAACAAACACAAATAATAATAATAATAATAATAATAAAAAAATTAAAA